GCAGGGGCCCCGGTCGGAAGGACGCCGCGTCCCCCGCCCACCTCCCATCCCCAGAATCTGAACGCGGCCTGAGGCCCTGAGGCCTCAGCATTTCCTGAACCCCCGACCCTGGGCCAGGCCCGTGCTGGGCCTGGAGGGGAGCTGGGTCAGAGCGAGGACAACAGGCCTGGGTCAAGGCCACCCTAGCGGGGAAGCGGGCAGAGGAAGGCGCGGTCCGGGCTGACTAGGCGCCGGGGGGCGCGGTCCTGGGTGGGGTGACAGGCCTGTGGGCTGAAACCCAAGAGCCTGCCTGCGAGGCCTGCGATGTTTGTGCCTCACTCACAACCAGTCACACGCTCAGAGAGGGGCCACTCCCGGTTGGACACCCACATCCCACAGCAGGAGGGAGGCCCAGGTCTTCGGGACTCCCCACCCCCACCTCCTGCCTGCGGACTGAAAGAGGTGACGCTGGGCCAGACGCCTGGCAAGGGGGAGGAGGAGGCTTGGACCTGCTGTTAAAGCCCCTGGAAAGTTAGGCGTAAACTTGCAGGTGAGTCCCCAGGCGTCGGCACAGCTCCCTAACCCTTTCCCTGGTTGGGCCTCCAGAACTCTCCGGAAGGATGAGGGCCTCCCTGCCGCCTCTGGGGCCCCCTGTGAGCCGGGACCGCATCATCGCCAGCTTCCCTAAGGTAGGGAGTCCTTAGGCCAGACCTTGACGTGAGCAGTGAGCACTGCGCTCCCCAGACCGTGTCCACAAATATCACTTTTAACCGGTATCCGAACCCTTTCCCTGGTTGGGCCTCCAGAACTCTCCGGAAGGATGAGGGCCTCCCTGCCGCCTCTGGGGCCCCCTGTGAGCCGGGACCGCATCATCGCCAGCTTCCCTAAGGTAGGGAGTCCTGAGGCCAGACCTTGACGTGAGCAGTGAGCACTGCGCTCCCCAGACCGTGTCCACAAATAGCACTTTTAACCGGTATCGGCACTTTTAACCGGTATCCACACTTTTAACCAGTATCCACACTTTTAACCGGTTAAGAGCTCATTGGATACCGGTTAAAAGTGCGGATACCGGTTTAAAATGGTAGCTTTCCCCACCTGCACTCACCACCAAAAACAAGGCAGGTGAACCGGGAGGTCAGTTCCTTGCTGACAGACTTCTTGAGACGCTGGGAGACATGGTGATGGCTGGGCCAGGGTGGGCCAGGAGCCAGTGTGGCCTGGAAGTTAAGGGCACGGACTTTGCAATCCGACAGTCTTGGGTGTGAATCCTAAATCCGTCATTACGTGTGTGACTGTGGGCAAGTTACTCAACCGCTCAGAGCCACTGTTCCACAGGGCCAGTCCTCCCGTGTCAGGTGCCTGGCTCATAGCCACCGGGAGTCCCCGCCTGAGTGGTGGTCATTGTTCTCATAATTATTATGACGATTATCTTTTTTTTTTTTTTGCTAATCCTCACCCAAGGATATTTTTCATTGATTCTTTTAGGGAGAGTGGAAGAGAGAAAGACAGAGAGAAACTTCAATGTGAGAGAAAACCATCGATTGGTTGCCTCCTGCACGTGCCCCGACCAGAGCCCGGGCCAGGGAGGAGTCTGCAACCAAGGTACATGCCCTTGACCTGAATCGAACCCGGGATCCTTTGGTCCGCAGGCCAATGCTCAGTTCAGTGATGGCGAACCTATGACACGCGTGTCAAAGGTGACACTAGAACTCATTTTTTTGGTTGGTTTTTCTTTGTTAAATGGCATTTAAATATATAAAATAAATATCAAAAATATAAGTCTTTGTTTTACTATGGTTGCAAAGATCAAAAAATTTCTATATGTGACACGGCACCAGAGTTAAGTTAGGGTTTTTCAAAATGCTGACACGCCGAGCTCAAAAGGTTCGCCATCACTGCACTAGGGCATCATTATGATGATCAAAACAGCACTCCAGTTTTCTGACACCAAATCCAGGGTTGCTCCCCTCTTACCATCCTGCCTTCAGTTGCTGCCGGAAACTAAGCTCTCTTCCATCTACATTAAGATCTAAGGTATTTTCAGAACTGCGCGTTCATGCCCGTGTGGCTGACTGCAGAGCTCCGACGTCCCCCTACCCTGGGGGGCATCTGCCCTGTTTCCACAGAAGGTCGGATTCTGCCCCGCTGTCGGTGGCCGCCAGGGGTCACAGGCCACAGCGGGCCAAGTTCGCCCTGCACCCCACAGCACGCCATGTCAGACCGGACCACTCTGTGGTCAGTGGGGCAAGTCCTTCCCTTTGCTCTGTGGGCCTCGGTTTTCCTGTCTCTAAAATTGGCTCGCACTTCCTGTCCAGCCTTCCTTATTAAACGCTGCTCCAGTCCATCCCAAGTCACGGGATTCCTCTCGTGACCACCGTGCCCAGGCCGGGGCCCCACTTTGAGGCTGGTGTGCAAGTCGGCGGGAAAAGCAGCCAGCTTCCTCGCGAGGCGGCTGCCACTCTCCTGCGTGAGTGTGGGCTGCGGGGCTGCGCTGCGCCCCTGCGTCACCCAGTTAATCCTCCAGCCACCAGATGAAGAGGTGCTGATGGGCGTGTCCCGCTTTACGGAGGAGGAAACGGGCTCAGTGAGGTTTCGTAACTCGCCTTTTTGCAAAGTTCCTTCTACCTTCACTCCTGGAGCAGCGAGGGCACCTGGGCCAGAGCAGAGCCCATTCCAGTGCCTGGGAGCTCAGAGGAGACTCCTGGGGAGGGCATGTGGCCGCGCCCCTGCCACAGGGACAGAGCCCCCGAGGGACAGAGCCCGTGGCCCGGGCCACCACGGCCACGTCATGGCAGAGCACAGCGGCGGTCTCCCACGATGCCATTCCCTCCATGTCCTCGCCACACTCTCTGCTTAGCCGCGGCCCATTAGAGAATAAAATATAATGGTCATCAAAGTGTTTTTTCTAATTTTAAAACCAATGCACATTCAGCACCAGTCAAGGCATCGTAACAGCCACAAACACTTGTTGAGCACTCAGCGCGTGCCAGGCTGGCTCTGTGCCTTACAGACATTATTTCCTTCTCTGCCCCCAAGCCTCTGAGGTTCGCAGATGGGGAAACTAACGTTCAGGAGTTGAGCGTCGACCTGTGAATCAGGAGGTCACAGTTGGATTCCCGGTCAGGGCACATGCCCGGGGTTGCGGGCTCGATCCCCACTGGGAGGCGTGCAGGAGGCAGCCACTCAATGATTCTCTCTCATCATTGATGCTTCTCTCTCTCTCCCTCTCCCTTCCTCTCTGAAATCAATTAAAAATATTTTTTAAAAAAATTCAGAGACGTTAGGCAACCACCCAGGGTCACACAGCAGCTAAGCATGGACACAGGTCTTGATCCTGAGGCCGTACTCTTAAACCACCCCCCGGTTCTGCCTTCCCAATATTGTGGGAGGCCTAAAGTGCCTTCCAGCGCATTTCCATGCACACATGTGCAAACATTAGAAACAAAAATGGCCTGGAGTTCCGTAGGAGCTGTGGGAGGACCTTGGAGCTAAAGGGGCCCTTACAGGCCAGCCTGCATCTCACCCCAAGAGGACAGAGGGGATGGAGGCCTGACACGTGCCCACAGTGAGGGCACAGCCACCCCGGGTGGGACCCAGCTCTCCAGTCCCCACCTGCGCTCTCTGGTCTGGCTCCGCCCCTGCTGCTGCTCCTCAGGACTCCTAACACCTGGAGTCTTGAGGCTGCTGACAGGAGAGGGGACGGGCCTGACCGAGGGACCGGGGAGAGCTAGGGGCCGCCAGCCGGTGGCAGGTCACCACCTCGCTGCCCTGCTGGGTGATGGAGCCGCAGCTTTGCGGGGCCAGGTGCCCATTTGTCTGTCTGTCTGTCTGTCTGACTCCTTGCAGTGGTACACGCCCGACGCCTGCCTGCAGCTCAAGGAGCACTTCCACGGGCAGGTCAGCGCCGCCTGCCAGCGCAGGAACACGGGGACCGTCGGGTGAGCGCCCCTCAGGGCCCAGGGCGTGGGGTGTGGGGGGCCGGCAGGGAGGAATGAGAGCATGCGTGGACATGCGAATGCATACGTGACACACCCACACTGCCCCGTGCAGCCCAGGATGGGCCTGAACCTGATGGGAGTTTCCGCTGCTTCATGGGGCACACGGCTGCCGCGTGACCATTTCCCAACAAGTCACGCGTGTGATTCCTCAGCCTGAGGTCTCGGCATCTGTCTTCCGTTTGTATTGGTTTTCCTACTCTTTTTATTTTTTTAAGTATGTTTTTATTGATTTCAGCAAGGAAGGGAGAGGGAGAGAGAGACATCAGTGATGAGACACACGTGGTTCCCCTTCAGCGGGGCTCAGAGGGAGGCTGGGGATGGCTTTGCGGCCAGGTGGGCATGCAGCTGCCCCGGGAGGCCTGTTCCGCCCTCTGGTGGCCGCACTGCGCAGGCCAAGCCCTCCAGGAGCTGGACATCAGCACAGACTTGGTGCTCATGGCGTTTCAGGGGATGGGGGGGTCGGGGGGGGGCGGAGTGCCCACCTGCTGTCTGCACCCCTCTGTCTAAGGGCTTAACCCTCCCAGGCTGGTTTGAGGACCCTGGGGCTGCAGGCAGGACTGGGGACGAGTGACAGGCTGGGGCCCGGGCTCAGCAGGTCCCTGGAGCTGCAGGGGAGTGCCGAGGGTGCTGTGTGCTGAGTGGGGTCTCCAGGGGGTGAGAGATGCTGCCACGGAGGTGGGGTGGCATCAGGGACTTGGACCAGGCGGCACCGGGGCAGAGCTGAGTGTGTGTGTGGGGGCGGGGGGGACCCAGGAGCTGAGACCCTCAGTCAGTGTACCTCCAGGCATGCAGACCCGAGTTCTGTCTCTAGGACCTGCCCCTGTCCCCTTGGCTGGCCCTAGCAGACGCCCCCAAAGGAGCAGGTGTGACCGCTCAGGGAGTGACTGCTTGGCAGGAGCAGGAGGGAGCCCCTCGGGCGTGTAGCCCCAGGGGTGGGTGGGTAGGAGGTGCTGGGGTTCCATCCCCGCTCCCTGCTGTGTGTGTGCCCCAGGTTCCCGGCTGAGCTCCCGGCTTGCACGCAGCCCCACCCAGGGCTCCTCCCTCTGCTTCCTCAGCCTCTCATGACCCAATTCTAATTCTCACATCAAGGGCTCAGGCCCAGCGGGCCAGGGGGACAGCCCCAGGGACAGCAGGGTCCCCAGAACAGACGCAGACCCTCCTGCCTCTCCACAGCTGGGCACAGACACCCCGGAGCGACTCAGCAAGTGTCCCACCCCCACCAGCGCCCTAGCCGGTGTGGTTCAGTGGATAGAGCATCAGCCTGTGGACCGAAGGGTCCCGGGTTCGATTCCGGTCAAGGCTCCTCCCTGGCTCTAGCCCTGGTCAGGGGGTGTGCAGGAGGCAACCAATTGCTGTGTTCCTCTCACATCGATGTTTCGCTCTGTCTTTCCCTCTCCCTTCCACTCTCCCTAAAATCAATGGGAAAATGTCCTCGGATGAGGATTAAGAGAAAAAAGCCCCATCCAGGATTGCGGGCGGCTCACAGGCGGGGAGCGGGAAGGAGGGCCGTGTGGGGAGATGCTCTTGTGACCCAGCCTGAGAGCAGCTGGCCCACCCGCCCGTTTTCCACAGGCTCAGCCTCTCCAAGGCCGTTGTCGTCGGCGACCTCCACGTGGGGAAGACCAGCCTCATCCACAGGTAGGTGCGTCGCCACGCCCAGCGCCAGGTTGCCGGGGCTTTGCCGGGAGGCCCAGAGAGCACTGTCACACCCGGGGAGGGGGTGCGGGAAATCCGGGGGCGGGGGTCAGCGGAGAGTGGGGCATCCCAGGGCCCTGGCATCGGTCACACGGTCCCCCCACGCCGTGGGCTCGCCCTCACCGCCCTCGCTGCGGAAGCATGCCCAGTTTCCCTTTCTCTGCCCCGGACTTGCCGTGTTTGCTGCAGCCTTTCTCCCCCCGCATCATTCTTTATTAAATATAACTTTATTGATTCCAGAGAGGAAGGGAGAGGGAGAGAGAGAGAGACATTGATGTGAGAGCACATGGATCGGCTGCCTCCTGCACGCCCCCTACTGGGGATGGAGCCTGCCAGCCGGGCATGTGCCTTGACCAGGAATCGAACCCTAACCTCCTGGTTCACAGGTTGATGCTCAACTGAGCCACGCCGCCGGGCCCCCCCATAATTTCTGTTGGCTGTCCCTCCGTGGCCTGTCTCGGGACTGTCACCTCCTTAGCGACTCCCAGCGGGTGGGCTTCTCGATGCCCCAGACTCTCACTGTCATGAACTTCCCCGCAGCCTCTCTGATGACTTCCCTGCTCCCACAGGTTTTGCAAGAACGTTTTTGACCATGACTACAAGGCCACCATCGGGGTGGACTTCGAAATCGAGCGCTTTGAGATTGCTGGGATCCCCTACAGCCTCCAGATGTGAGTCCCTGTCGAGTGACGCCCTTTCCTGGGTGGTCTGGGCGGGGGTGGGGGAGAGTGAGGGGGGAGGCTTTGAGGACGCCCTCGCTGTGCTCTTTCTCAGGGGCAATCAGCCAGGACCCGTGGGAACAAGCAGGGCCCGCACCCCCCCACCTGGTCACCTGTGACCCCACTCGCCAGGCCACCCAGGAGGCCTCTGGCAGGTCACTTCCAGCCTCTGAGCCCCTGCTCCCATCTGGAAAACGGGGCCCAAACTGCTGAGCTCTGACCACTGCAGTGACCTAACCTGCCGCCTCTCTGTTTCCCTCTCTCTCTGCCCCCGCACAGCTGGGACACAGCAGGGCAAGAGAAGTTCAAGTGCATCGCATCTGCCTACTACCGGGGCGCCCAGGGTGAGCAGCCGGGTCATGGCAACGGCGGGGCCCTCAACATCACGCACCCGAGGGCTCCCCGCCAGGCTCAGCAGGCCCTCCGTGCAGGCGCCAAATCCGTCCCCAAGAAGCACTGAGAACCCCTGGCCAGTCCTCGGGGCCTGGGTGGGCCTCGGCAGGCACAGCCTGTGGGACCCGGAGGGGATGGGTGCTCCCTGGGAGTCTCAGCCCCAGTGTCAGCTCAGAAAGAGGCGCCAGGGAGACACGTGTCCAGAGCCCCCAGAGAGCAGAGCCGAGCTGACCGAGGGGGGGCGGGTGGCTGGGCCAGCGACAGGAGGAGCTGGGGGGGCTGGCGCTGCATCTCCATGTCCTGCCCTCCCTGCTCCCCATCAGTTATTTCCCCAAAGCTGGTGGTTTAAACTCACAAACTTATTTGTTGTTGTTAATCCTCACCCGAGGATATTTCCCAGTGATTTTTAGAGAGAAGAGAAAGGGAGAGACAGAGAGAGACTCATTGATTGGCTGCCTCCCACACGGCCATGACCACTGCATCTCCATGTCCTGCCCTCCCTGCTCCCCATCAGATATTTCCCCAAAGCTGGTGGTTTAAACTCCCAAACTGCCTGTTACTTATTTGTTGTTGTTGTTAATCCTCACCCGAGGATATTTCCCAGTGATGTTTAGAGAGAAGAGAAAGGGAGAGACAGAGAGAGACACATTGATTGGCTGCCTCCCACACGGCCATGACCAGGGCCAGGGATTGAGCCTGCAACCGAGGTACATGCCCTTTACCGGAACCGAACCCGGGACCCTTCAGTCCTCGGGCCGACGCTCTATCCACTGAGCCGAACCGGCCAGGGTGCTAATTGTTCCTAGTAGCTGCCACTGGTCCCGAGTCTGCCTGCATCAGGCCCTGAACCGAGAGCTTTAAAATCGCTGCGCTGGCTTAAGCCTCCCAGCACCGGCAGCTGGAGGCACTGTCCTCACCTCTCCCAGGTGGGGACACGGCCTCAGCAGCGAAGGCCCTCGCCCGCCAGCAACCTTAGTTGCACGGAAGAGGGGAGGTTGAGCTCAGGAGCCCCAAGCGCATCAGGCCTCATGGGATCCCCCCCTGTGGCTGCACCGCTGGGGGTGGGTCGGAGGGTGGGTCACCAGGGGCAGACACGGTGACTCCTTCCTGGCCTCCATGTGGGGGCCAGAGCTGAGTGCCTGGGGGCCATCCCGGCAGTTCCTGGGGAGCAGGGAGCCGACTGAAGGGCCCCCCTTGTCACGCCCTGTCGCCTCCCCTGTCGCTGACCAGCTCTTGGCTTTCGCCCACATGCGCAGTGATCATCACGGCCTTTGACCTCACGGATGTGCAGACCCTGGAACACACCAGGCGAGTCTGGGCTCAGAAACCCACCTGGAAGGGCTCCCCAGTTGGGCCCCCTGAGCTGGGCCCCAGTGGCAGGTGCGAGGGAGCAGCTCGCTGGTCAGGCCCTTGTTCTCCCTCAAGATTTGCACCAACGCTGACGTGCTCAGGGGCCTGCGCCTGCTTCCACGCTCGGCTGTTGCCATCTGGAAGCCTTCGTGTGGGACGAAGGGCCTCGCAGGGTCATGTCCCTGGGCCTGCAAACTCCATGGCCAGTCCTGTCGGAGGGACATGCCTGGCACCTCTGTCTGGTACAGGGATCTGGTCCAGAGCTGCCCACACGACCGGCTCCTGGAGGCCTTCCTGCTTCTGCCGGAATCCCCGGCTCATGGACCCGGCCCCCTTCCCCTCCCACGTGTGGGTGCTCACATCTCGCATCTCCAAACCCTGGGGGGCCGGGGTGACCGTCCCAGCTCATGACAGTGCAGGATCACCCCAGCTGCCGCAGCCAGGGCAGAGCCATGGCCAAGACTGGGTCTCCACCGCCCCTGGCCAGTGCTCCTGGGCCCCCCCCCAACCCCACCCCGTGGTCCAGCCAGGCCCTTCCGGCCTCGGCCCAGCCCTTCTCATCCAGCGTGGGTC